TAAAACCCTCCTATCCTCTCTGCTGCATCACTCACCAGAGTTGCAAACTGCCTCTGGAAGTAACATCAGCACAAGAACTGAGCATCAGGAGCTTAAAGAAATGGGTTTCCATGGCCGAGTAGCTGCACAGAAGCCACAAGATCACTATGCGCAATGCCAAGCGTTGGCTGGAGGGGTGTGAAGCACGCCGCCCTGGACTCTGACGCAGTGGAAACATGATCTCTGGAGTGATGAATCACGCTTCACTATTTGGCAGTGTGACTGTCTAATCTGGGTTTGGCGGATGCCAGGTGAATGCCACTTACTGAAACACATAGTGCCAAAACTAATGTTTGGCAGAGGTGATCTGAATTTGATGTAATAGGAAAAACTGAATGTATCAGATTATTTTTTATTGAACCATTGCTTATTTGCATTATTTGCTCAATTTTATAAAATAAAAACAGTCTGTTTATAATACGTAAACATTGTTTCTGAACGATCGGTTCACTCCCCTGGGGATTTGGATCATATATGGAAGCTAAGCTGCAAAAACAGACCGGTTCAAGCTTTATGATGTCAGTAAAAACTGATGCATTTACATATCTCTGTCTATTCAGCCTATAGCAGATTAGCCCCGCGCATTCGTTCTGAAGGTATAAGGATTGTTTCAGCCCACGCTGATTTCTGAATGAGGCGCAACACAGTGCAGCAAACCAGAAACCATTTACATATATCTTTACATATAGTCACAGTAACAAAAATAGCCTGTTTAATTTTAAGAGATAAAGGAAAGTTTGGAAAATGATCATGTAAAAATTAATTCTAAAAGTTTTTGGTACATAAACCCACACCAAGGAAAAATAAAATGTATGAAAGCTTGTAGAATATTGGCTATTAAAAGAAAACACTGTCATTTGGTCCCCAAAGCCATGTAAACGTAGCAATTCCAGACACTAGACTGGATGCAACAACCAAATGCGACTTGAAAAATAAACTTGTTAATTAAAAATCACACTGCTAACGCAAGTTCATATAGATGGAGCGTCCCTGTGAGCTCTGATGGCAAGGAGTGCAGGAGGTGATGGCTGGCTGTGGGCTGCAGGAAGGAGGCGGGGGGGGCTGTGATGAATGTAGACCGCTGATTGATCTGCTCATAAGATGACAAGCTCTGGCACTGAAGGGGCCCCTCATCCGCATAAGTGCGTGTAGGCGAGTGCGTGTGTGTGTGGAGTTTACAGGCTCCTTCTGACACCGAGGAAATTAATCCCTCATTTATGTACCTGCAGTGTCAAGTGGCTGAAGGATGCTCGAGGGACAGGGCTCTGTGCCAAGCCCACAATCACATGCACACGCTTTAACTATCAAAGGTTCTTTCCAGGGTAGAACCAAACATGTATATGAATGCATAATATTTCACCAAACACTACTAATGCTGAAAAATGAAGAAGCACTTCAAAAGTAACGGTCAGCCTGTGATCAAAATGCAAAAATAAAAAGAACAGAGCATAGAAACCCTAAAACGGACTTCTTCACCTACTTTAAAGCACCTGAAGTGTACATTGTGTGGCTATATTATCTAAGATCTACATGTGAAAGTTTCTTTTTCATACAGAGTTGTGAGTATATAATATTCATACTGGAAAATTTGTCAACAAAAATAAAAAAAATCCATCTCTCACAACTTCTCATTAGAGTGCTCCTGGCACTGCATAGCAATTAGAGCAGCTATCCCTGAATGGAGCGTGCAGGCCAGGCCTCTGCAGCGGTCAACTGGACCCCCTCCACCCACCCCCAAAACATCTGTGTGAAACGGGCCGGCCTCTCCATCTGTCAACCGAGCTCTGCTCCGGCCAACCTCATTTGTTCATCATTAACTCCACCGACTGAACAGGATGTATGCAAACTAGGCTGCAGGACTGGACCGGACACTGCTAGCAGAGATTTGCCTCGTGTGTCTCTGCAGAGACACAGTCCACTGCTCCAGAAAGCAGAACATTGTCTGTGTGTACATGCAAAGATTTTTGCCAATCCGATTGAACACATTCCGATTATTAGAGCTGGGCGATATGGCCAAAATTGTTATCACGATAAACAAAATTCATATCGTTCGATATCGATACATATCGCGATAAATATCCTATCATTATTTCTATCAAGTTTGAAGGCTGATTTTTGCTCCTGGGTGGTTAATCGCTGTTTTAAACCAACGTGATCCTTTATGGTCGGAACATGACAAACACTCGCCAAACAGTGGGACGTTCCACAAATCTGTCACGGGAGAGTGGGAGAAAGTGTCTGGTGAGCTGTTTTTACCAGCTGGAAAAGCACGGTTATTTTTCTAATAGTCATAATTTAAGAAAGAAAACTTTATTAAAAGATTATTTTAGCTGGTGCCGAGCGCTCGGCTACCCCGCTACAAATGACATCACAGTATTCAGACACCAGCTGGCGACGACTGGATTCCTCTATACTATCGTAGTAGTTTAAGGGGTGAACCGCAAAATATCAACACCAGACAAACGGAGTCCTCTTTTTAGGTACGTTTAAACTGAAAGCGGTGCTTTTGTGTCATGTTTGATCCACAGTATCATCAGTTCTCCGTGTTTTGTGAGTGACGGAGCGCTAGCTTTCCAGGCTAGCTGTTTTTAGCAGCTGGCTAACTTGAAGCAGCGCTCCGTCACTCACAAAACACAGCAAATTGATGATTCCGCTCTCCAACGCCTCACAGCTTCCTCAGTTTACTTTTGTTTAAATCAGGGCTGTAATTTACATGAACCCACTTCTTTCTTTCACTTTCGTTGTTTGTGAATGCACTCATACTAAAATATGACTGAGCGCTGTAACAGGGCTGTAGTTGTGAGGAGCAGACGTGATTTAACGCTGCTAAAGCTGTTAGGATGTTAGTAAAGAGGTGAGGTCACTGTAGGACAGTACAGTTACACCACTGACCTTGTCACTCACACTCGGTCACAGGAGAGCAGAACGCAAGCATTGCTAAAGACTCATCTTACTCGTGGCCCCCTCCCTCTCTAATCATGTAGAAAAACTCGGAAGTGCGCCCTCTCCTGGCGACAGCAGAGTAGTGTCGCTTTCCTTGCAGCAGAAAACGCCACCAAGGCTTTCGCTGAACGTGGACGTGTGAGAATGGTGTATTATATCGAACATTTATCGAACATGTCGTATCGCTCTAACGAGGAAAAGTTATATCGCGATGATTATCGTTATCGTTTTATCGCCCAGCCCTACCGATTATAGATTAAGACTGATGTGTTTATATTCTCACTCTTCTCAACCATCTGATAGAAAATCTCTGCTTACATGCTCACTACAAGTAATCAGATGCATAATTACACGCATGCATAGAGAACCATTTATTGTAAATGTTACCATGACAGCCAGCATCATGTGAGTCCAGTCAGAGTGAGACAAGTTTTCAGGTGGCGCGAATGTGTTTTTAATTGTTTTAAAATTATGGCAGAAAAACGTCCTTCACGTGTCCTTATTAAAGAAGGCCGAGAGGAAGACGTCGTGTTCTGAGACACATAAGCTGGACGTCCGTCCCACCGCCGTCTTTTAAAGACCAGAGCATAAACTTCGTCTCCTCTGCAGACCAGTTTCTGCTCCGCCATGCTGAACGGTATAAACTTTCACTGTGACGTGACGCAAACGTACTTAAACTTTCCAGAGGTCGGAAAAGCATATTGTGACATTTTGTAATGTTTATCATGGTGATGATAAATGTCATACTGCCCAGCTCTGCTGACAAACACAACTTTTTGAATTTACCTTTTTTAAATGACTACTTTAAGCTGTCTTTAATATTTCGAGTTGCTCTAACATTCAAAAAGTCTCCTTTTTGTGGCTTGTTCTTATCACTAAGCGGTTAGAGTGTAATAGTGTAATAGCCATGCGCTACATCTCAGCCGACGACACATCACACGGTGAGAAAGCTAACAGTCATGATACAAACAGGCCCAAAGGAACGTCATCAGGCTTAATGCACACAATATTGATTTAAAGCAATAATGTCTTGATCAGCTCTGATATGAAATTTTCAGATTGGATCAGAACATCTCCAAAAGTAATATGCTTCAAGCACCACATGGCAAGAGGAGCTCTAGCTGCTCTGCAGCTGCAGGGAGTCTTTGAAACCGAAGTCTTGACTACAGATATCAGAGCCATTCCACAAAGACGGCCCTTTCCTGCCGCACAAGCAAAAGGACCCAGCAGGGTCCAAACCCACCCGTGGACTGGCAGCAGTCGGCCGGAGCTCCTGCACTGTGCTGCTGAAGGGCGTAAGCGGCGCGCTAATAAACACAGATCTCATTTAAAGGGAGCGCTAATCAGAGATGCAATTTGTTCATTAGAAAATTACAAACAAGGCCGCTGCACTGACATGAGAGGGCGCGATTAGTGGCGCTAATTACCTGATTCTTACACTCCAGTTGAGACACGCAGCGGAGGATGTCTAGCCCCCCCTCACCCCCTCTCCTTTCTGCTCTTGTTTGTGACAAATTAAAGCCAACTCAAACAATCTCTCGCAGAACACAGTGGGGTGGAGGTGGTGGTGGTGGGGGGGTTGGAGCTTCAAGCTAAAGCAGAAGCAACGGTCCAATCAAAGCTTTCCCCTCCGCAGGAAAGGGCTGGGTTTTGAGGAAGGGAGGGTGGTGGAGGGGGTCCATATGTCGACCGGCAGACCACACTTCATTAAGACCCTTTTAGCTTCACACTATTCTCGACAGGAGGAAAGAGATGGGAGAGAGAGAGAAAGAGAAAGAGAGAGAGAGAGAGAGAGAGAGAGAGAAATCCCTTCCCACTCCTTATCCTAATGATCTTGTTTCAATACACAGGGGATCCCAGCTCTAATTGATGTCAAGTGTATGCTTTCGCTGTTAATCAAGGAGACGGCATCAAACGGGCCCGGCGAGGGTCCGAGTGCTGATCACAGGCCCCCTCGCCGGCAACACGCCGCTCCCGGACCCCAATTATCCCTGCGCAGACGGCTGGCCAGACCCTACCTGCTTAATTGGGATTGCGCGGCCACTTCCAATGCTGTCTGCGCGGCCCTCCAGTCCTTTCTTCTCCTTGTCTGGTTCGCTCCCCTTGCGAGACTGTGGAAGGGAGGGGAGAAGACGTTTTTGAGTGAGAGGCAGGCTTAGCCACTAATTGAGTTTGACTCTGTTCTAGACTACAGACAGTGTGGCAAGGGGCGCATGAAGTCCTTCTGAAAGGTCAAGGAAGGCATGTGAGGGGTCAGCTTGATGTTGCTCTGGCCTAGTCACCGTCCTCTTTTGAGAGCTTGACATAAGATACATGTACAGAATGTGAGCAGCAATTTATTCAAGAGCTACTAAAACTTGAATTCCCAAAGTTAGATACTCCAAGTTAGACAGGAACAGAAACTACAGCTACTACTGCTACTAATTCGATTGAGAAAGTGTGCTGTAAGATTATATTTGTGCATGATTAGTAAAACTGTTAGGCTGGAAAGTTGGAAAGGTGAATAAAAGTAAATTAACAGCTGAATTCTACTTATCGCTGTTGTTGGAAGAAAACCTCATAACTCCAAAATGATAACTTTACAGTAAAAGGAAAAAAAACTACTTTACTTTTAATGTAAGTCAATGGAACCAGACGTTTTTTTCCAGGTCATTCTGGACCATTTCTTTTGGTCTGTTCTTCATGAAATTCACACACAATATAAAGGGCAACAGGAATTTTCAAATTATGCCAAAAACTGAAAAACGACAAAAATGGAGATACGAGGTTTTCTTCCGACAGCAGCGATAATCAGAAATGTTGTAAAACCAACAGACTAACAGCCAGTAATGAATATGTGTGCATGTGCGCAGGCTGACCGTGAACAGGTTGGAGCGGCGTTTGGATTGCTTGCGGACCGGCGTTGGGGTGTTGGCTGTCTGGGGCACATCGATGCGCAGCTCCTTCTGGCTGGTGCTGGGAGTGGAGGGCACGGAGGAGGAGTAATCACTCAGACTGCCTCCTCCATTACTAGTCTATCATACGGAGAGACAAAGAGAGACAGAGGTTCAAACGTTTTAGCCCAGGATGTGAATAAATAAACTAAGTTCATTCAGCAAAAACCGTGCATGATGAAAAAGACTAAGAGAGAGGACAAAGGGGAAAGTTGGCAAGACTGATGTCTCGCTCTTCTTTCCACTGACTACGGTTAGTTTGAGAGGGTAAAGTTTTTTGAACGGCTCCTCACTCAGGATCTACACATTCCATGAAAGCAGTGGGCACATCCCACTTGCTGGTGTACAGTTTTACACATTATACACTCCACTGACAATTTATCAGAAACACATACCTCGCTGGTGTACAGTGAAAAACCATCTGTTTTAATGTATAATCTGTCTCAGCCATCCTGTAGATCACAGAGCTGCTCTTGGCTGAATATTTCTGGATGGTGGACCTCTCTCAAACTAACAGCGACAAGATTTTTGCCAATCCGATTGAATACATTCCCATTACAGATTAAGACTGAGGTCTTTATTCTCACTCTACTCAACCATCTGATGGAAAATCTCTGTTTACATGCTCACTACAAGTAATCAGATCCAAAATGACGTGCATGCGTAAAGAACCACTTAATGTAGACGTCACCATGACAACGAGCATCACGTGAGTCCAGTCAGAGTGAGATGAGCAGCAGTGAGCAGTGCTTGTGTTTATAATTGCTTTAAAATGATGTCAGACTCAGGAAAACGTCCTTCACCTGTCCTTATTAAAGAAGGCCGAGAGGAAGACGTCGTGTTCTGAGACACATAAGCTGGACGTCCGTCCCACCGCCGTCTTTTAAAGATCAGAGCATGAACTTCGTCTCCTCTGCAGACCAGTTTCTGCTCCACCATGTTGAACTGTATAAACTCTCACTATGACGTGACGAACATGATCAGAACGGACTTAAACTTTCCGATAGGGAATGTAATCAGATACAGGCGTTTACACGGATATTATTCTTCTATTTAACGGATTATTTAAGTAGTATAAAGTATAAAGTAGTTATTAAATGATAATATACTGTAACTATATTGGCCTCACGACAAGTTACCTGCCTTGAGAATTGATCTCTACTTTTGAAATATAATGAATTGTCTATGATTTTATTTTTCATGATTTTAAGTTCAATCTCAATTCTACAGGGCATTCTCTGTCTTTTTAGCTTCCATGGCTCTGTTCATCAATCCATACACAAAAAAACAAATTTCTTTATTTTTATTTACAGCTTCCTAGTTTCCTACTAATTACTTCAAATCCAGGAAGTTGCAAAAGACACAGCACATTTTATTATATATGATATCTGGTTTTATATTATTGAAAAAAGTGATTCTAAACATTTGAACAGTGATTCTGAACTAAATATATATATATATGTATATACCCCATGTGTGTGCATATATGTATACCCCATGTGTGTGCATATATGTGTGTATATGGATGTATGGATGCATGTAGTCATATGTATGTGAAGCATATGTACATTGCTATGTATTAGAAAGCTGCTATATATGTATATACTTATGTTGCTTGATGTTTTGTCTTACATTCATTGAAATTATATGATGCCACACTTGAGCATAACACCACACAAGCACAGCCTATATGAAGCATTTCTTTTATAATGTAAAGTTTGCTTGTGATGTCAGTGTAATCACACAAATGTGAAGCCAAAAGGTCCTGATACATGCAGGTCCTGAATGCACGCTAAAGTAGTGTGCGAGATTCGCTGATCTATTAAGGAAGAATGTGGGCTAGACACACTGGGGCCATGTTATACACCGAAAATGAGAAATCAATGAGGACTGAGCGGTGGAGGACGATACGAGTCATGTGGGATTAACCAGTCTGAGCACGTGCGGCCAGGAACAGAGTAAGCTTGCATCACTGGGTCAGAAAAAAAGACTTCTGAATCATGCACTGCCCTGTTAGAGGGTTTTGTGTGAAGAGCAGATGATAATTAAAACTACATGTATGTGTGTACGCTTGCAATAGGGCAGAGCCCTGCAAGTTGACCAGTCAACTAATCAGTTGTACCACTGACTACTGTTTTGTCATGCGAATTATAGTTAAAGCCGTAGCAAACAGAAGGTTGGACCATGTAGCTGATGGCCATCCTCAGAGGTTAAAAGGTGATTGTAAAAAATTTGTCACATCTTTGAATATACTCAAAATATCCCCAAAAAAACTTATGTTTGGAGATTTATAACTATTTTAGCTTTATAAACATTACACATAAAAACTCAGAAGATACGTGTTCGTTCACTGGTCATTTTATATAGCAAATGAAATAATTATATCTGCCTTGGTGGCAACAAAACCCCTGGTTGCCATCACCAAACAGTAAAGTCAATTATTCAATTATTTAGAAATTTTTAAAAATCAAAAGAATTCGCTTTGAAAGTTTGCTTAAGATGGTGGACTAACTATAGGTTTAACCCATATATAGGTTTAGTAGACAAACCGGGAAATCTGTTCGCAGCATGGAATTTTTAACTAGTATTTCATCATAAAAACATAAAAATTTGCGCTTTAACGTTTTTATATGGTCTTCCGTTTAAATTTCGTTGATTTTCATGACTTTTTTTATTGTATTTATTTATTTAGCTGCATGACATGCATGAAAGAGTCGCTGCTGGATCTATTCTCTAAACACTGCGCCGCTTTAGCGCGCCGTCTGGGACTCGCGCGCACCACGTTCGAAAGCGCTGACCACTGACCACTTAACATGGGCGCCGAAATGGAAAGCGCCACGCAGATGCAGTGTGTGTGAATCAGGCCTATGAGAATCTGTGTTGTTCACGTGATCGGTTGCTCGAGAATGACTCATTTGAACTGTTTTACTGTTATATTGTTTACATGTGTGGTTTAGTGATCGTTCTACTTTATTTAGGCTGTTCATTAAATTGTGGGATTTCTTAATATACGTGATTCCACCCGCTCCTGCCTAAAGGGATCTGATTTCCCGCCTGCTCCCGCGAGCAACACTGAAAATTAGTCTTCTAATTAGACTTCTACTTTCTAGTTTGATATCATTTATTTGTTAACTTGAGGTTTAACAAAAAATTAAAATCAGGCCTTTTGGACTGACTATGGACAGCCCAAGCATGTATACTCACCTGACTGATGTGTACAGCCGACACAGGCGCCGAGCAGACTGAGGAGTGACTGGGTGAATTGGGGAGGGACTTGCAGGGTCCGATTGACAGCTGCTGCTTCTTCCGGGTTGCAACAATTTTCTGAGCCACTAAACACAAAGACAAACACAAAGCACACGTCAGAGCTGGACACAAAAAGCATATATCCATCACCTGACTACAAAAACACCAACAGGACCAAGATCAACAGGAACAGGAGGACAGCCGTTGATATATACCACTAAAAATGATTCCCACACTGACATTCTACTCTCCCCCTGGTTGGACTAGTCCACTTCATTATCCCTCATAAGGGGCTGTCTCGCAGTGCTGACCCACGCCCCTGATTCTACCATCACTCTCCTCTGGTCTCCCCCCCCAAACCCCCAGCACGCCCATTATTTAACTATTATTACGCCATGTTCATTACTCAAGCCCTCGCGGAGAGAGCTATCGGCGCGTGCAAAAGGGCGATGTCAATCAATCGCTCCCCGCTGGCCCTTATCGATTGATGGGCCGCCGACCGCGGTGGCAATCAGCCGCGCTCAGCAGAGAGATGTTCAAGTGCTCTGTCATCTTCTCCCTACCAGCTACATTGATCCCAGAGCTGGCCAGGGGAGGTCTGCCGGAGAAAGCTTCCTTCACCACAAAAATTCCTCAACAGACAAAGAGAGTCGTACAAAGAAAGTAGGGCTTATAAGCTATTTTCCCAGCAAAGTCAGGGACATGAATAAACCTTATAATAAGCTTTTAATCCCATGAACTGTAGGTTATGCTTAAAATAACTAAATAACAAATGGTTAATATTACATCTTCCATATGTTTGATGAAGCTGCTTTCATTCTGAGTGATGCTTCAGCCATCTTGAAGACTGGATTTGCTCATACTTTTGATCATTTTGTAAGAAAATTATCACACTGATTTTCAAACTTCTGCATATTTAAATGTTTACGATGTACACAAAGGCCCAGTCCCATTTCACCCCTCGCCCCTACCACTTAGCCCTACCCCTCTGTTTCATGTGTTCACGTCTAGGGGTAGGGTGTCACGATTCTTGTAGAGATAGAGGGGTGGGGCGAAGTGTTGGGGCTACATGGCCCTCCAAACGGAGGTTTTCCAGAGACTCCAAACAGAGAGTTATGAGAAAGAAAAACAGGCAAGATGGAGAACAAGAGAACAAAGAAACACACAAATGTGAGAATTTTCTCTGTTAAAAAATTATGATAACCATCATATTGTCTTAGTTTAATGTCATTTCAGTGTATTATGGTGCTTTTATTCATAACAAGCATTAAAAAATGATGTCTCAGCTCACCCGTTCCACCTTAAATAGTTTCATTCTAGTGCCTCAGGCATCAAACTTACTGCACCATTTAAGGTGGAACGGGAAATTCAAACAAGAAGCCGGTGAATATCCGACTTCAGCTTCATATCACTGAAGAATTAGGGGTGGGTGATAATAAATAATTTGCCCCCCTCTTTGAAGGCCTAAATGTAACTAAAGCCCAGCAGTGAGGAGCTGAACTTTACCCTCCTCTGCTGTCACTGCAGACTGGCAGGGTCGCCTACAGAGCAGCGCTGGTAGCTGTTAATGAAGTGATGCTCTTTTTATTTGAGGGTCCCATTTCAGAGGGAAGATTTCAACCACTACCCTGTAACTCAGAACCATTTCTTATTTTACCCCTACCCCTTGTTTTTGAGTGTCACCTTGCCACTTGGAGCTGAGACTGGGCCACAGTCGTTCAGAGTGGCTTGATGTGAAATGCTCTTATGATAGTTTTAAGATCTAATCTTGTCTTAAATATTTACTTGAAGTCCATTCATGATGAAGAGATACATGCAGTGTGCTGTAAGACAAAACAGTAACCATAGAAAACATATTTTTCAGTTTTATCAGTATTTTATCAATATCAGCATCACATATAAATACTCAGAAGACATATAGTGAAGCTGGTCATTTTACATAGTCAATAAAATGGCTATATTCGCACTGTACACATTGTGACCCCTGGTTCCTTTCACCACCAGAGTCGTGAAGTTTTTCTACAATAAAGAAAGTCAAACAAAACATGCGGAATGACTGTTTTAGAGGTTTAGTAATACGACAATTTTATCATCATGATATATTACATCAATTTACACCATAATATGCTTTTTGTTGCATATTGCAGATATCATCAGTGTCATCAGTGCAGTACATCATATAAAATGTTGATTAAAATTCATTGTATTTACAGTTTTTGATTATTTTTAAAAATGGCTAAATGTTTAGGTTTCTTTTTTGGTCTGTTCCAACATATGAAGCCTAAAAAACCTATTTACTGTGTATCACAGTATTGTGATGGTATATTTCTTCCATTTTGCCCACATCTTAACTACTGAATTTTGAAGCAATTTAATGTGTGTTATACCTTTAAAGCCTAAATCACAAATTGCATAAAATATTACATGTAACCTGTGTTTTGATGAAGTTTCTTAATTTTTGGGTCTCTAAGCAGAGGCCTTTCCTCACAAAAGCTCTTAGGGGTGGAAGTTCCCCTTGCTAGGGTGGACGTGCACTTCCTTTAGGGCAAGAGGGAGTTAAAAGAGCCTCCGCCTCCAGAACTCAATTACTCTTCTCCCAATAAACATGGCGGACTCTCATTCCCCTGGAAATGAAGCCATTGTTTTAATTGGATCTATTAAAGGCCTGAGCTTTAATGATGATTCGGCCATAAACATTTACCTTCAGGTGAGAGAGTTCTGTCCAAGGGCAGCCGCCATGACACACGACTACAACTCACACGCACGGAAGCCAATCTGCTGCTACATCAACAGCACACATCTGTGTTTGTTTAGACTCAAACACAACACTCAGAAGGCATATAATGCCTCCTTAAAGAGCAGCAACCATACTTCGGACAAAACTTTCTGCTCATCAGGATGCCACAGCCTGCATGCACACAGCAACAAACACATTTTTGCCATTGTGACCGTTTGTGACAGCTCAGCAACACCATAACGTCACCGTTAACAGCCACAGGTTACAACGAACAACGAGGCAGGCGAACGGAGGTGGCCGGGAGATATATGTCCACACATCCGCAAACGGCCACCCCGGCTGTATTTTACTTTAAGTGTTAAGAACAGTTATGATAAGACTGTGTTAAATATTTAAACTACACGGCTAATGCAATTTAACTTTACCCATCAATCTCAGCTCCCCAGTGAGCGGCAGCCATTTATCCTGGTGGGAACGACTAGCGTTTGATCAGATTTATGGCACATCTTTCTGCCACTGGTTTTGTGAGAGAAGCAGACACGCTGGTTCACCTTATTATGATTCATACGGCAGAAACTGACTGTGTTAAACAGCAATACAAAGTACTATTAATGCTCATTTTTGAGGGTACCTGTACTGATATACACTGGAATAGTATATTATATTATTATTTTGGTGTTTCTTTCAAACACTAATGCTTTACATCCATAAAATCAACAGCACAAATTAGGCTAAATACACACACACACACCAATGAGGCATTACATTATGACCACCTCCTTGTTTCTACGCTCATTGTCCATTTTATCAGCTCCACTTACTATATAGGTGCGCTTTGTAGTTCTACAGTTACAGACTGTAGTCCATCTGTTTCTCTGCATACTTTGTTAGCCCCCTTTTACCCTGTTCTTCAGTGGTCAGGACCCCCATGGACCCTCACAGAGCAGGTACTATTTGGGTGGTGGATCATTCTAAGCACTGTAGTAACACTGACATGGTGGTGATGTGTTAGTGTGTGCTGCGCTGGTCTGAGTGGATCAGACACAGCAGTGCTGCTGGAGTTTTTAAACACCTCAGTGTCACTGCTGGACTGAGAATAGTCCACCAACCAAAAATATCCAGCCAACAGCGTCCTGTGGGCAGCGTCCTGTGACCACGGATGAAGGACTAGAGGATGACCAACACAAACTGTGCAGCAGCAGATGAGCTATCGTCTCTGACTTTACATCTACAAGGTGGACTGACGAGGTAGGAGTGTCTAATAGAGTGGACAGTGAGTGGACACAGTGTTTAAAAACTCCAGCAGCACTGCTGTGTCTGATCCACTCAGACCAGCGCAGCACACACTAACACATCACCACCATGTCAGTGTTACTACAGTGCTTAGAATGATCCACCACCCAAATAGTACCTGCTCTGTGAGGGTCCATGGGGGTCCTGACCACTGAAGAACAGGGTAAAAGGGGGCTAACAAAGTATGCAGAGAAACAGATGGACTACAGTCTGTAACAGTGGTGCTATATGTCCAAAATTACATGGACATCTGAACATCACAACCATATGCACTTGTTGAACATCAATTCTAAACCACATTAATAAGGAGTCGATGCAAAAACAACCTTCGCTCTTCTGGGAATGTTTTCTACTAGATTTTGGAACATGGCTGCGGAGAACTGTGTCCATTTATTCAGAAGAGCATTAGTGAGGTTGGTCAGTGACGTTGGACAGTTAAGCCTGGCTCTCAGTCAGCGTTCAAGTTCATCCCAAAGGTGCTGGATGGGGTTGATGTCAGGGCTCTGTGAAGGGCAATCAAGTTCCTCCACACTGAACTTTATTTTTCTTAATTCTTTATGGACCTTGCTTCGTTCATGGTGCACTGTCCTGCTGAAAGAGGAAAGGGTCTTTCCCAAAAGAGCTGCAGCAAAGCTGCTCCGCCACAGAAACCGAATCCATGAAGCTGTGTGCTTATTTTGTACACTCATTATTATAAAGTGTGGCTGAAATAGCCAAAACCACTAATTAGAGTGAGTGTTTTCATACTCTGGCACTATCATGTCACCCATCCCAGTGAGTTCGCACCATCATTGTTTTACATCATTGCTACTAATTTGTCTATTGTGAGCTGTTGTAGTCTGTATCCCTGTATTTCAGGTGCAGCCTCTTTAAAGGGGTTCAGTTTTTTGTGAGCTGACCTGCATCTAACGGGTCAGAAACGCCTGCTGACTAGAAACCTTGTTCCATGTCGTCCACCAGAGGTCATGACCTCGACGCTAAATGCTGAGCTGATACTACAGGCTGACCTTTCTCCTCCAGCACCCAGAGAGTGAGAGAGAGAGAGGGTATAAAAGG